CCTGGGGGCGCCTGCGTGGCTCAGTCGGTTGGGCGTCTGCCGTCAGCTCAGGTCATAATCCAGGGGCCCTGGGATCCAGCCCCACATCGGGCTCCCTGCTCAGCAGGAAGTCTACTTCTCCCTCTTCCTCTGCCTGCCACTCCCCCTGCTTGTGCTCTCTGTCAAATAAATAAAGAAATTCTTAAAAAAAAAAAAAAGTTTTTGGCCTGCTGACCACGTTGGATGTTACTTCTACTGGGACCAGTTCTACAGAAATGCCCATGGGGTTTCAGGCCTCGACCAGGTGAACAGAAAAGATGTTCTGGGGGTTAGGTTTCTGGAATACAGTGACATGGCCCTCCTCTGCTACACTCTCCAAGCTGACAAAAACTAGAAAGTCTGACAATACCAAGTGTTGGTGAGGATGTGTGTGCCACTTCCATACCCTGCTGGAGGGAACGTAAACTCGTACTAGCACTTGGGAAAACAGCTCTGCAATCTCCCCTACGACTGAAGGTAAGCCTAACTCACGGCCCGGTAGCCCCATTCCCACTTAAATACCACAGAGAAGTGCCTGCAGGCCTGGGCCAGGGAGTACACACAGGGCTGTGCACGTACAAGGAAGCTCCCAGGGCTATTACGAATTACAAAACTAAAAACACACCCCATATCCCTCCTCAGTAGAACAGATGGATAAACTGTGCCATATTCAAACAAGAGAATACTGCACAGTGATAAAAATAAATGAACCACAGGATACAAAACAACATAGGTAACTACTAAAAACAAAATTGAAGAGGGGCACCTGGGTGGCTCGGTGGGGTAAGCAGCTGCCTTTGGCTCAGGTCATGATTTCGAGATCCTGGGATCGAGCCCCACGTTAGGCTCCCTGCTCAGCAGGGAGTCTGCTTCTCCCTCTCCCTCTGCCCTTAGCCCCTCTCATTCTCTCTCTCTCTCAAATAATTAAATCTTTAAAAAGAAAGAAAGAAAGAAAAAGAAAAAAGAAAGAAAGAAAAACAAAACTGAGGGGCACCCGGCTGGCTGAGTCAGTGGAGCATGCAACTCTTGATCTCAGTGTTGTGAGTTCAAGTCCCACAGTGGGTGGAGAGATTACTTAAAAAAAATAAAATCTTAAAAAAACAAAAAACCAAAACTGAGTGAAAAAAGCCCAACACACATACACAGGTACACACATATTCTGCAGGACTCTATATACTTAGAGTTCAAAAATAGACAAAACTATTATATTTAGGGTACATCCTTAGATAATGAGAATGTTTTTAAAAAACAAACAAGATGATTAACATAAAAGTCAGGATAGAGGTTCCTTGGGGGGTTGGTGAGGAGAGGGCACGTGGGGGTGCTGAGCTTTCCTGAGCTGGGTGGTGGTCTGCTTTGTAATAATTAAGCTGTACACTTGTTGCTTATGTACTTTTCTACGCATGTGTTATTTTCCCTAAATTAAAACAAAAGCTTAACCAAAATCACCCCACTAAGCAGAGCTCTGAGAGCTGATTTTACCAAAAGGTGAGACTCTAACAGTTTAGATTCTATTTCTCGCTCCTTCCTTCCTCTTTCATCTACAAATGGAGTTTCCATTTCTACATACATAAAGGGCGTGCGTGTTCACACGTGCGCCCGCTTCTATTGCCAAGCACTGATCCTACTCTGGGCAAAATGCCCCTCCAATCTGACCCCTTTGTCTGGTCTGACCTCCAAAGCACTCCCCTTGGGATTCCGGAATATCCAAAGACCAAGAGCAGAATTTCACTTCCATTCCTCCTGCAGAGCCCGGCTGGAGGACTGTTTTTTCCATTTACCCAACATTGGGCCTTTTCAGTGACTGCAGACTGCAGACCGAGTCAGCCAGCCTGAGCCAGGAGACAGAGGCTGAATGTCACACCGGGAGACAATGCTCTGCTCTACGGGCCCGGGGCCCCGACCCATCTGTGCCATCGGCCACACCACTGCGCCCCGTAGCCTTGGACGGCCTGCTGGGGGGAACCTCTCACTCCACTTTAATCTTATTTAACAGGACTTATGGGATACAGCCACGGCTCTGCCTAGAAATTCCCTTGGAAGAGCTGTTGTTTGAAGCTCTGCTTAGGAAAAACTGATGCTTCCGGGGCAGACAGCAATGACTCAAAGCAACTTACAGGGTTGATTAGAAAGAGCCTTGGCCCAGGAACCAGAAGGCCTGAGCTCCTGCCTACACTTCCCTAGAACCTACTGCAGGTCTCACGTCCCGTCCAGCTCACGGAAACAGAAGTGCTCAATGTCTACGGGGTGGTTTAAAACCAATAACTGCCATGTAAGCAGAGGGGATGGTTATTATTAATATAAAGGGCCAGTTTTTGCTACTCAACATACCATAGTTTTGAAAAAGAGATCACTCTCATTGATAGAACTAAGATGGGTTTTGGCAAAAACCCAGTGACTGCGTGCCTACACAGAGGACACCATCCTGCTGGGACATCGCCACCGCACCAGATTCTCCCACTAACTGCATGCCTATCCTCTGCCAGCAGGAAGGGCCTGCTGCCTGACAAGGCTGGAAACAGGCTATGCCCCTTGAGCAGACCCCTGGGAGGCTGAGCACCTGACCTTGGCCTCCCAAGCACTGTGCTCTACCCCCGGAGCTATCTTTCCCGGTCTGTGTTCTTGAGACAGAATGAAAACCAAGTGGCCACCAAGGTCAGGTGAAGGCAGCAGAGGTGGCTATCAGCCCTGTTCCTATACAAATGCAAACCCTTTTTTAAAGAGGGCGTCGCACATTTGCATGGCTCTGGGAGCCAAGGGAAAAAGAACTTTCCAATTTCCAAGGTCGACTTGGATCCTGGTTTAATTCCTTTCGAACCCATCTGAAAGAATCGGAAAGTAGTTTTATTTATTTATTTATTTATTTATTATTTTTTAAAAGATTTTCTTTATTTATTCATTCATGAGAGACAGAGGCAGAGGGGGAGCCCAATGCAGGACTCGATCCCAGGACTCTGGGATCATGACCTGAGCCGAAGGCAGACGCTTAACCATCTGAGCCACCCAGGTGCCCCGGAAAGTAGTTTTAAATGGGAGAACGAATCCCAAGCCTGGATGAAGTCCGTTGGTGGTAGGATGGTGTTGACCATTCCCAACCTCTTCATAGCCATCAGTGTTGGGGAAAGAGAGTGAAGATTAGGCCTAATTCTCTTGCGAAGCCCCCTCAGGAAGAGCGGGCTGACGTGGTTCTGTTGGCACCTCAAACTGTCTAGAAAGCTCAGGTTCCAGGGCCTTGACCCTTCTCACCAGCCCCGGGAACTGAAGTGACTGTGACTGTGGACCCACCACCCTCCCAGAGCTGATGGCCGTGTTCAGAAAACACTCATCACAGCCCTGCGGGAGCCGGGCCTAAGGACGGGTGGACAAGGAAGCGGTGTTCACTTTCTGGGAACATTTTCTGGAGCGTAAGGAGGGTGCTGACACCAATCTTCGCAACGGCAACGTCTCGTCATCTGCGTCCCAGCTCCCCCGGCAAAGCGACCCGGAGACGCAGCCCCCTTCCACTCCTTGGTCACAACAAGAGTGCCTTGTTTATTTAACCATTTCAAAGCGTTTGTAAAGTGATTAGCCCACTTTTTATCCCCTCGGCAATCATACAAAGTAGACAGGGCACCTTTCCTACTTTACAGATGGAGAAGCTGGGGGACAGTTGCTCAGCAACAGCAAACAGAAAGTGGGTCACTCTGTCCTGACTCCTCGTCCAGCGAGGGCTCTTTCTGCCACACTAAAGGGCCTTATCTTTGCCCCATCCTACAGCTTCTAACCGCCCATGAGGGAAGCCCAGCTCCTCCATGAGAGACCCCCGATATTTTCATGAGGAATATTCGTATAACTAATCATTCTGCTATTAAACCTACCATTTACAGTCACAGTCTAAAAATTAAATAGACTTAATTTTTGGAGTCACTGTTTCAAGTATCAGTTCAAGAACTGGGTGCCAGTCGATGACACATACCATACGCTCCCTACCAATGAGGCTGAGTGGTCATCGTTCCCTTCCAGGTGACCCAATGACTCATCTCTGTTATAAAGGATGACAGCGACAAAACAGCGTCAACATTGTCATCGTGTGTAACGGCTCCTATCTCGCACCCCCACCCCACACACCGCCCCCCTTGAAAATCATGGTGCCAGCCAAGCATCTCCCAGGAGCCCTGTCAGAACTGTGGGATGTCCGTCTGGGAAAATTACACTACAGTCCCTCCTTCCAGGGGGTGAGGAGCTGGAATGCTTTCCAATGGGGAATGTTATTTATTAGGAATCATTTTTAGGTCTTTTTTCTCTAAAGTGGATTTGAGATTGATCACCACACAAACACACATACACATACAGAGACGGACGGCAGAACAGTTAAAATAACGAAACAAAACAAAACCAGAAGAAAAAATTAACAACCCTATTCCCAGAAGGGAGATGCCACCACCTTAAAACCAGAAGTAAGATGCTTATTGTACTTTTATATTTCATTTAGCTCTGAGTTCCGTGGAAGTCAAGGTAAAAATAGAAATATGTTGGTTATATGGTTCTCGTCTATGAAGAAAAGAAGGTATATTTACATTTATATTTCACTGATTCTCTTTGTCACCAAAAATTTGGCATGATTTCGGATGAGTGTTTTACGTATATTTTGTCTTTCCAAAGAACAAGACAGGTTAAGTCTAGTCAGGATACATGCTCTCTGGAAATATTGTGGGAAGTTTGATACATTTTGGGACCTGATCAAGAAAAAGATACAGAGGGGGCCTGGGTGGCTCAGTCGGTTAAGCATCCAACTCTTGGTTTCGGCTCAGGTCATGATCTTAGGGTCCTGGGATCGAGTCCTGCATCTGGCTCTGGGCTCAGCGTGGAGTCTGCTTAAGGATTCTGTCTCTCCCTCTCCCTCTGCCCCTCCCCCCACTCACTCACTCTCTCTCTCTGAAATAAATAAATAAAACCTAAAAAAAAAAAAAAAAAAGGATACGGAAACCCAGAATCTTCCTTACCTCCTCCAGTTTATCCATCCGCCCCACCAGTTTGGTAGTGACAGAATGCAGCTTCAGGAGATCCAGGCCATAGAAAGCTCCTTCCAGCATGTCTATGATGGTGGAAAGCTAGGAAACAGGAGTAGGGGGTTAGTCAAGGGCTGGGGTGTGACAGACCCAGGACGAGATGTTTCCTGTCAGACCCCCATGCCAGAGGCTCAACAGGGAAGTGGCCTTAGAAATTGGCGTTTGTGTGTGTGGGGGCACATAAGCCAGCACAATGGTGGAAGGTAGTCTGCCCACTAGAATACTCAGATGAGAAACAGAAGAATCCTGTAGGAACAAGTAAAACTGTTCTTCACCAAAATCTTCACCAAACTGTTCAGAACTTGTATTCGTCAGTTGAAAGTAGTGCCTCGGGCGCCTGGGTGGCTCAGTTGGTTAAGCGACTGCCTTCGGCTCAGGTCATGATCCTGGAGTCCCGGGATCGAGTCCCGCATCGGGCTCCCTGCTCGGCAGGGAGTCTGCTTCTCCCTCTGACCCTCCTCCCTCTCGTGCTCTCTCTCATTCTCTCTCTCGCAAATAAAAAAAAAAAAGAAAGAAAGTAGTGCCTCATCTTTGTTTCCCCAAGATATCTAGCACAGCACCTGGCCCACAGCAGGTGATCTGTACATACTCAACGACATGGCTTCGGAACCTCGATGCCCTGAGGACGTGCTTCTGAAACACTCACCTTCATTGTCTACTGAAGGCCTGGAACATACCAACGGTCTTCCCTCAGCACTAAAAGTTAAACTGACCCTGGGGCAAAGGAGGCCCAGTGACCCTTCTCTGAGGTGACAGAAGCTGTCACAGGGCCCCAGCCTTTCTGCCAGTAGCCTGGGAAGACGGTGGTCCCACCGGGTGCAGCAAAGGGGCCGACGAGAGATGCTTGACCCGAGCCTCCCTGCCGAGGACCGGTCCCCGAAGAGTCTGCTGGCCACACGAATCCCCTGGCCTTGCTACGGGATGAGGAGGAAGTCCATGCATGAGCTCCTCGTGTTTCGGAGACCTCCTTCCTCCCCACCGGAGGAAGGCAGCTCGATCGTGGGTGAGAGCCACAGGATGGCATCTGGTTAGCATGCACTGTGAAGATTTTCTGACTCCTAATAGAAGATTGTTCCAGAAGCCCCCCAGAACCCAGACAATCCCATAACGGGGCGGCCCCGAAACTAGTTCCGCGTCAGGGCTGCAGTTCTGTGAGGCGGGCTGAATCCTGGGACAGGATGTTAAAGCGTTGTACTGTGGAACCCCACTCAATGACCACCAGCTACCAGGTGTGTGGCAGGTGCCAGGCCCCGTGGCGGCACTTTGCATGGCCATCCATGAGCGAGACCAGTGGCTCCTGACCCCGACTCTGTCAGGCGTTGTGCTAAGCGCCCCCTAGCTGCCACCTCAGCTCCCCCACAAGGTAGATGCTATACTCCCCACTTCCTATGCAAGGAGACTGAGGTCAGGCAAGTTAGTTAGGTGCCTTGAGTCGGATCAGACGACAAGGGGCGGCAGATCTGAACCCAAGGCGGTCTGACTGCAAGACCAGGCCCAGGCCACTACCCCATGCTGCCGAGATCGGATGAAGCCCTCGGCCAAGCCGGGCAGTGGCCTCGGGCAGGCCTGAGCTTCCCCACCCTGTGGGACCGGGATCCCCGTTCGATACCGACCTACAACAGGCCCCGGGCCTTGTGCTGAGGACCGCCAGGCTCGCTCCTGTGTCTCTTACCTCTGGGGTGCGTGCTGGGCTGACAGTAAATCGTGACAATAAGTCTTGCAGAGAAGAACACTGAGTTCTTTTGGCCCCTGGGCCCAGCAGCTGCTCCCAGGCCCAGCCTCCCTGGCTCCACAGGGAGAGAGGCAGGCACACTCTGCTCTCGGCGTCCCTTTCAGACATGGGGACTGCAGATGACCAGCTTGCCAGATGATCAGCCTCGGACACTTGCTCAGCACACTAGGGGCCAGGGCCTGACCTTTATGGGCTAAGCCAGGTCCCAGTTACCCAAAGGCAGGGATTGTAATCCCTGCAACAGCTCTGCTGGACCCCCAGGGCCCGAAGGCACCCTCCCACTCGTGGCATCGCTCCACCCCAGGTCCTACCTTCAAGTCCCGGCTGTCCGCCGCCCTCAGCGTCTGGAGCCTGAAGTCACCCTCACAGGGATTGAGGGCCGACGGGGGCGCCACACACGCACACTTGCACGACGAGCCCGAGGTGATGGTTTCCAGGGTGTAGAAGTCCTCCTTCCTGGAGGTGCCCTCATTGACCCTCTGGCAGGCATCTCGGCCCAGGGGTCTCACCACACACTTGCACTGACAGTCGGAGCCCTCAGACACAGCCTTGACCTTGTCATAGTCTCCCAGCAACTAGACATGGAGACAGAGAGAGAAGGGGTTGGTGTGCAAACATATGTATTGGGCCGGCTCCTAGAAAGGCTCTCCCTTCCCCATGTCAGATGTCCTGCACTAGCCAGAGACCTCAGACCACTCTGAACAGCGGGGAGAAGAGGTCATCAGAACACAGTTTGCTGACTCTGAAATCTCCTTGAAGGCGCTTAGGAGTTCGGTTCTCTTCATTTGTCTTGGAAGGCTGTGTGTTTCTCAGGGGGCCTGAGGCTTTCATCATTTCAAGGGAAAAACAAATGAGCCCTTGCCTTTGCAAGAACCCAGGTTGAGATTTAAAAAGGAAAGGACAAGGGCTGAAGGGAGGATGGCAAAACTGAGATTCCAATTTGAAGGCTGCTTGCTTCTAGCCTCATCCCCTCACGGACCACTCATGGGGTGCCTACTCGGGACGGTGCTAGGGGCTAAGGGGGGGAGGCAGACGGGCCAGAGAGCCCACTCGCAGGAGCGCAGGGTGCAGTACCCACACAGATCACAGCCATGCCAAGCGGAGAGTGCCGAGTACCCCGATGTGATGTAGTGCAGCGGGGCTCAAACTGGCCAGAGTGGCTCCAGCCAAGAAGACTTCCTGGAGGACGTGGTACTTGATCTGACCCTCGAAGGATGCTTTCTTTACTTTTTAAGATTTTATTTTATTTATTTGTCAGAGGCAGAGAGAGACTGTGCACAAGCAGGGCGAGCTGCAGGCAGAGGGAGGAAGCAGGCTCCCCGCGGAGCAGGGAGCCCGATGCGGAACTCGATCCCAGGACCCTGGGATCATGACCTGAGCCGAAGGCAGACGCTTCACCGACTGAGCCACCCAGGCGTCCCCGAAGGATGGTTTCGATTTGGAAAAAGGGAACTGGGAGAAAAGAGACAGACCCAGAACTCAGTAAGGTTTCCTCAGCCTCAGGATTCCTTTGGCTCCTAAAACGGCTGCTGAACCCAAACCCTAGGCCAAAGCCAGGAGAGCACACTGGCAGTACTTGGTGCTTCTACAGCACTAAATATTTCCTTCTGAGCTCTCCCCGGCCAGCCTCCCCAGGCGGGAAAGCACACAGGGACAGGCTTCCTGGAGCCACGGTGCTGGGCACTTGCTGGGGGAAAAGGCTCCTCCCCAGCTCCCCAGCCACACACCCTGCAGCCCCAGGGCCACGGAGCTCTCCCTTTCTAGGCATGGAGAAGGGCTCCCTTCCTTCAACTAATGACCCTGGCAGGCAGGCACAGGACATTCCCGGAGTGGGAATGTTCCTGGGATGCCGTCCGGGGGGAAGAAGGCTAGTAATGTTTTTCTTGCAAAGGTTGGGTTTCTTCTAACACTAATATTTGTTTTAGAGCTGTTGTCAACTACAGAATGGATCAGTGGATGCAGGAGTTACAGCACAAGGTGACCGAAGCGGCTGGTCTTTATGGGCTGACAGACAGTAAACCATGGCTGTCTGCTCGCTGAAACTCTGCCTAGATTCCTGCAAAGCCCGCACTGGGACCCTGGGTGGATTCCTTCCTTTCCGAGACTCGGGTTTCAGGAACACTTTTGTGCATGGCCCTCCAGAGCCCCACTGTGAAGGATTTTTATGTCCTTTCGATGTAGGGGAGAGTGCGAGGTTTTCGGGCTCTAGGGCATCTATCAGCGTAACTTCCAAAGGAAAAGGGTGAGGAGACTAGTGTTTGATAAACGCCACAATGGAGCTGATTGTTCTTCCTCCGGGAGGGAGACAAGAGCCAGTGCAAGGACTTAGCGAGATGCAGGCAGCATGACAGGGACCCTCCCTCAGCCAGCCCTCATCTTTAGGCTGATGGCAACCCCCACCACACATCACCAGGCCGGCTCCAGGGCGCTTGCACGGAACACTCCAGACAGCTGTCCCCTGCAGGTACCTGGGCTGCAGCAGTCAGCCGACCTGGCCCTGCCCACTCGGAGCACTCCTACTGTTCCAAGTCTTACTGTTCCACGGGTCCTTTGCTAATAGAACGGGAACGAGGGTGTGCGAAGTTGAGTCAAGCGGAGTCCTTTGTAAAGGGACACTTCACAAAGCCCATCACCATCAGCTGTCACTCACCCCCACCAACCATCCACCAGAGGTGAGCGGATCTGCATTTGCACCCTGCCTCCCCAGTACACCGGGGTCTCGTCCCGGTCCCCCTGGGCGGGGCCACCTGGCAGGCATCACACCTGCTGCTGTTCTGTCTTCACCCCACTCCTCCCTGGTGTGCATCTCACTCTGGGTCGTCAAGTGCCACCCCCGGGGAGAGCCATCAGCCTCCTGTCCCACACGCCGGCCTGTTGTCACGTTCCAGTTCCCACGAACAGCCACACAGGCAAGAGACCGCCAGGTTTTCACAACCCTGGGACTAGAGGTTTGGGTGATGATTTTTTTTTAAACCCCTCTTTTCAGGGAGCTGTGTGGAGTCTTGCCTGCCTTCTCTCCTTTCTCCTGATTCGGTAACCTTGAAAGACCCCCTGACGCCGGGAGGAGGGCACGGTCCCTTCGCTGAAGAAACGCCTCGGGTAGTGGGGTGCAGCGGCCGCCGAGGCTCCAGCGAGGGCCACGTCCCGCTCCCGCCCGGGGCCGGGGGTGGCCGGGGCCCGCAGCCTACCTGCGACAACACGTTCTCCTGGTTGTCCGCCTCGTTCTGCAGCGTCTCGTCCTCCGTGGGCGCCTCCGTCGGCGCGTCCGGGGGCTCGCTCGTCCCGGCGGGGGGCACGCTGGGCCCCCACTGGACCCCGGCCACAACCAGAGCGCCGCAGACGACCAGCAGCAGAGGCTTGGCCATGACGGACGCGGGCAGAGGGGCTGCGCCCGGGGGGGAGCTGCGGGCTGGGGCTGCGGGCTGGCACTGAGGCGCGAGGGCGGCGCGGCCCGGGAGTGGC